GGAGGGGGGGGGTGAATGTTTATTGTTCTTTGTTGCTATCGTTGCTTTTACGTGAGTGATTTTTCTGAGTATGAGTGTGTTTGTGGAAAAGGAGGGTTCACTTTGAACTGTGAAAATGCGTATTTGGGCCAGACCCTTTTTTAATACTGCTGCTAATGACATTGTCTAGGTGTTATGAATAGCTTTGTCAAAATTGCTTCTGTATGGTGGTTTTCTAAACTAAATCATTCGCTTTCAAAAGAGCTTTTTAAAAGATTTTTTTAAACTTACGTTTATTCTGATCGTCCTGCTCTTACTGTTGTTTTTATTTTTATTGTTGCCATTATTGTTATATTGTTAGTAGTATTGTCTTTTTTTGTCATAAATATTCGGGGCATTGTCTCAGCTCATAGATGTGCCAAAAGGATGCTTTGGTCAAAGGCATGCCATTATTAACAAAAGTCTACAAACACCAAAGACATGTTTGACTGATGATCTGGCAGAAGTCCCGGGGCTCTTTTTGGTCTAAGCTTAATTGGACTAACCCGAGGAAAATGTGTTTAAAAGGATGATCTTACATTAGGATTGACAGGTAAAGCGTCAACACTGCTTTCGACAATTTTTGTGGTGTGCCAATCTGTGTTTGAACCCAGCGGACTAAAGGCTCCAATCAAACAGTTCTACCAAGCATTCCTACCTAACACTCCTACCAAACACAATCATTGGTATTTCTGTCGATACGCGGTGAGATTACTTGACAGAACTTGGGTTGCGATGACTGGAGTCAAATCTGATGAAGCGAAACGGAGTCTTTATCTGGTATGGCGTGCACTGGCCAGCACTCTTTCCCGACCCGACACGGTCCGAGGCGACCTGGTGATGCTGATGATAAGGCCCATAATTTGACGAATCTCAGCGTCAATTCTAAGGCGAGATGGACTGAGAATTGTGAAGTGAGGCGAAAGGCTGAATACTTCTGGCTGACCACTCAAGCAGAGACTTTCTGGAACTGGAGAGGACTAGCATTGATAAAAAAAAAGAAAATGTACTAAAGTTTTGAAAATATCTTTTGCACACAAGTCATTGGTGCACTTCGTTTGAAGGGAAGTAACTCTAAACCAAACACTCAAATTAATGGCTTGTAAACAACATTCGTTACAGACCATTTGGGAATGAGCTTTTGGTCTCATGTGAAGAGGCAATGTTGTATAAAATGGTGACAGCGCGGATATATGATTTTCTGCGGAAGATGCAAGGAATTGAGACATGCGAGAGTGAATAGATTTTTCGCTGAATACTTGATCTCAAAATCAGAGACCGAGTTTAGAAAAGCATATCGATATCGTAGCGTCCATCCAGTGTTGAGAATGAAAACAAGAGGGACAGAAATTTACAAGCCATAGAAGGAAATAACAGACTTTGAGAATTGAGGACTCAAACTGGAATATCAAATACATGTCCTACGTCAAAAAGTAAAGTTCACAGATTGTGCCAACTTCTAACTCGGGCTCTGGGGAATGTCAGTATACTGTTGTATCCGTTGTATGTTGCATCATGGGCACATATTAAATACTCGTTTATATCCTCATATTTGTCATTTATTGGAATAAAGTTCAACGCATAATATACAAAAAATGTAAAAAGAGAAGCCAACCTAATTTTTTTTTATCGAGTAAATGGACAAATGAAGTGTCAGACAAGTCAATATATTTTATTCATTCAAAAAAGGACAATTGTTGGCTGAAGCATTTAATTTATATCTACATAATACTTCAATCTCACAGAACAGAACACATATAGGAGCTTTAAGACTATTATATTTTTGGAGAAACTTTATAGTGCTTTCTTTTTAAAGTTGACCTCACGGATGTATCATTTATGCACGAGCATATTTTGTGTAATTCATGCGCTAAAAAGAAACCCAGATTACATAAAAAACCAAATAATTCACTCATGTCATTCATCATGACATCACATGGGACCATGACCTCGCTGCGACCTTGACCTGTGTTGTCGTCTGCTTCCAGGTCTTGAGTTTCTGGAGCCAGGCCGCGTCCTCCCCGTCACCGGTGACGTCACGGCTACTTCAGGAGAAGAGCAGGATAATTCGAGAACCGCCATTGGTTCAAACGTACGAGGACGTGGCAGAGGAGGAAGCTCCGCCTACTATCGGGCAGCTCCCAGAGGTGGGGGGAGTCAGACGTCAAATTTTATCACAAAAAGACAACGCCCATCAGCCCTATCGGGGGATCGAAGAGGATCTAGTAGTAGCCAAGCGTTGACATTAGGGAGATCTCCTATACCAAGTGGCAGCAAAACAGTTTCTCATTACAGCCACGACAGGACGTACGCCTATCGCAGGCCTTGGCGCAGCTTGACTCCGCCCCGAAATACACAGCGGTATGGGCGGCTTCAGGCGAGAAGGGGGCGGAGACTACGACGAATGGCTAGGAATGCGATTGGCCCAATACCCTGCCCTGTAGGCTTCGCCCGAGATGCTAACAACTCAATGAAATGTGCAGGTGAATATCCTATGCGAATTATTTAAAAAAAATAGAATGAAGTAGTACTGAAAGAAGTCAGCGAACGACAGTCATTAATGTAAAATAAATAAATTAATGAATAAATGAAAGCAAAAGTAAGAAGTAGAGAACCCCGGAGTACATAGAACTCTTGAAACGACTTGAAACAACCAGAAAAAAACCAACAACCCAGATGTCAAATGAGCTTGATTTCGACAAAAACGTACCTACTGGAGAAATCAATTAGACGAGTGACTCCGTATTTTTAAAAGAGGACGTCGTGCACAAATTGAAAAATATTAAATATTATTAGGTTTTGGAAGTCGAGCAATAATAATAATAATATGTCATAAACTACGTAGTTTGATTTTTCTTCTTTTTTTTTTTCCTTTTTTTTCTTTCAAAAAATCAAAATAATAGTTCTACAACAACGATTTCTGGAAAATTGTCTGATTCCAAATTACCCAACGTTTTCCTTTTATAGTGATAGATTTAGTTCCCGAGAATATTCTAAAAGTACAATAAACGTCTTCTTTTGTAAAGATTACGTCTACTCAGTTCTGGAAACCTGTGCCATTTCGTCATTAAGCTTTGGCTCTTGTTTTAAAATCATGATTTAAAATTGTATCAATTCGGACGTAAAGTCACGTACATAATTTTGTTTTTGCCTATTTGGGAAACCTAACATTTTTCTCGATATCGAAATATTATGTAAAGTCGTTTTTTTTTAATCCAGTGGCCTATTTTTAGTGAAGGTCGCTTTTTTTGTTGGTTTTTGTTTGTTTGTTTGTTTTGGTTTGTTTTTGTCACTGTTTTGTTTTTGTGTTGTTCCTCTCTTCTTCATCTATGTCCATTTTCTTTCCAGTTAATTTCTTTTAATCTGTCCGGCGGCATTTTTGGTAGTGTTTTTACTATCATTGTTGATTTGATGTATTTGTGTGTATGTGTGTGTGTGTGTGTGTGTGTATGTGTGTGTGTGTGTGTGTGTGTGTGTGTGTGTGTGTGTGTGTGTGTGTGTATGTGTGTGTGTGTGTGTGTGTGTGTGTGTATGTGTGTGTGTGTGTGTGTGTGTGTGTGTGTGTGTGTGTGTGTTTTAGATAGTCCTTCGTTTTTATTTTACTTTACTTCTTTCTTGGGCTTGGAGTAGGGGTTTGCATGGAAAGATAATTCAGTGGGTGGTTGGCGGGAGCTCTGGTGTGGTTTGCTCCTTCTTTCCTATAAAAATCTATCGTCTCTATCTTCCCTCCTTCTTTTTGTGTTTGTTACTCCCTTGTAACACCTCTAATCTTCGGCGCTTATATGACCTTATTGTGTTGCAAGTGCCGTAAAACTCTTACTAAAACAAAACAAAAACAAAAGATAATTCTGCTGTATGTGCTGCAGATTCATTCCTTGCTGTTCTGTAGCTTTTAACACTCGTATCGGAGATTCGGTAGTATGGTCGCTTTTAAGCCCAAGAGGGCTATCCCAAACGATACTGTTTTGAGAAAATCGAAGGTAAAGTTTTTGCCCCTTGCTCAGTTTCTTTAAAAGACAATATGGAGAGTTTTCTCTTTAACCAAACACTCCAATGAAACCAAACGTCCTCTATAGGTAGGCCAATACACACTTACTAGACTTTTTGTGTAGGTCGAGATTTCTGGAAATCCCCGAAATCTGGATCTGGGTTAGTCTGCTCGTCCCTAAATGCGACCTTATTATGCCTAATTGTGCTGATATCCCAGTGAGCATTATGCTGGATTACACCTCGGTTGGCTCCGGTTCGATACCCACCTGGGGATTCTGGAAATTGTGTTGTTTGGGGGTGACTTTGTGAGCGTTTTCTTAATTTGTGTGTGTGTGTGTGTGTATGTGTGTGTGTGTGTATGTGTGTGTGTGTGTGTGTGTGTTTGGGTGTGTGTGTGTGTTTGGGTGCGTGTATATGTGTTTTTGTGTACATGGGTACATATGTATGCGTGTGTGAGTGTATGTGTGTGAGTGTGTATGTGTGTGTGTGTGTATGTGTGTGTGTGTGTGTGTGTGTGTGTGTGTGTGTGTGTGTTTGTACGTTGTGTGTATGTGCGTCTGTGTGTGTGTGTGTTTGTTCGTTGTGTGCATGTATTTGTATTTACGTGTGTTTGTATTGGGTATGTATTTGTATGTGTGTTTTTGTGTGTATGCGTATGTGTTTTATTTGTACTTGCGTGTGCGTGCATTTGTAAGTTTTTAATAAGTACTGAAATGACATTGATAGCACATAGAGCAAGTATTCAAAAATTAAATACTAATAAGGGCTTTATGAGTTTGCCAGCACAAGGTTTCCTGTATTGTTGAACACAAATTGCTTTAATAATATACAATTTTATGACAATAATTTTTATGTATTTTTGTATGTGAATTGTTTTTTTTTTGCGGGTTTCTATGC